AAAGTAATCAACCTTGTCACTCTGGACTTCAAGACGGTTTCTAGTTTTACATCAGACAAATCCAATTATAGAAAACTTTTAAATCAATCGATCGTCTGCAGTGCTTGTTTTTTTATAGCAAGGATCAAAGATATTGAAAAATCCAAGAAGATACACAGAACTACATGAAAAATGTCAAAATTTGTTGCGATAGAATATGGATATATAATTTCTTTGTCATTTTTTATGAGCAGAAGTTTTTCGGTATTTAACAGTGGTCTTCCTTCTTGAGCAGATAAATTAGTCTGAAATTTATAGAACTATAATATCATAAAAAGCATTATTCCCCTCATTAATAAGGGAGGTGATACTATTGTATTTGCAGAGTATTTATTTATGATTATAGCCTATTATCACAACATTATTATTTTTCATAACTATAAAGTTCACCTATTGCTTTTGCTTAAATAGTCTTATTATTATGAATTAATATGAATTTTAGTAGGTTTTAACTACTTTCAAATAAAAAAAAGCCAAACAAAAAACAATAAAACCCACTGGACTGGGTTTTCCATCCCTCAGACCCTATGTGTATGTAGCAACCTCTATATTGTATTGTGAAAGGAAGTAGTTCAACAGCCTCCTATGTGTATGTAGCAACCTCTATATTGTATTGTATAAGGAAGTAGTTGAACAGCCTCCTATGTGTATGTAGCAACCTCTATATTGCATTGTAGAAGATATTAGTTCAACAGCCTCCGACCCAAGAAGAGATGAACCTCTTGGTGGAGGTTGTGTCAAGGATAGAGATCATGGTTAATAGAACTACCCAGGAGGAGGAGGAGGGCGAGGATAGACATATTGGACCCATCTTACATCACCAAGAGAACTGTGAAAAGGGAGATTCAAAGATTGATGACTTTGATAATTTGAGCATCGATTTTTACTAATTTTTTAGGGCAAAAAAGGTTATGGGCATGAGTTTAAACCATAATAAATTTAAAACTTCACCGGGAGGAATGATCCGACTGAACTAAGTTTAAAGAAAATGGGGCTCTAAGTTTAAAGAAAATGGGGCTCTAATTAGCAAGCTTGTATTATAAAACTTTCTGTTAACTAGTTATTTGAATTTTAATACTATCCTCAACACACTGAAGGAAAAAGGAATGGCATAGGGGTGGAATCCTTTAAAGAATTTTCCTTAAGAAAGAACATAAATGAATATTTATATAAAAAGAATTAGTTTAAATCTGTTGAATATTACTACATTAGACCCGGCTATGTTTTCACAGTAGCTTTGCATACATGTCGAACATCTATCTCTTCATCCCCCTCGTCATTACACTCGTCAGGACTCTCTTCACTCTGAGGATGAGAAAGGTAAATGGGAGGGTGGGATTAATATATTATATTTGTTGTTAATTGATCAATTTTGAAATCTACGAAGTGTAAATTGTTTATAGGACTGTCTTTAAATAACCCTAATTTATTGGGAATGCCTAATTCACAACGGTGCCGCTAAAAAAAAACTTTCGTTCTTCTAGCTTGAAAGGCATGTAATTTTGGCAATTTCCACCATTGTCTCTGTGCGCATGTAATTTTGACAATTTCCACCATTGTCTCTGTGCGCAAGTCAATTTTATAGAGAAACCACAATTGAAAATAGTAAATTTTTAAACAGATAGATATGAATATTTATTCTTTATCAAGTGTACCATTGCGAATCGGACAGGGAACTCTATAAATTAAGAATTACTTGAAATTAGACGGAATCATTGTTGCTCTTTTATTCTTAGTCTGTTTCAGAGCTTGCTGTTAATAAGTTGATGAATTATGAGTTTGCTGATCAAAACATTAAATAATGGTAAAATAATATTACAATTCTATTCTAGTGGATTCTGAAGATTCAGTTTGTTGGACCGTTCCTTAGTTTCATAACTTCAACAAGAATAAGGGACTATTCATTCTTTGTCTTTCAGGTCACAACCTTAATGTTCAGGTTAAAGGGAGTGTTCGAGAAGTTCCGGAAAACTTGTATATCTATCCAATTTATAAATATACTTTGTTTGTCTGTCTGTCTGTCTGTTTGTTTGTATCCAATAAACGTTAAAATGGCTGAACCGATCAAGCCCTAATTTGGGTGGGACCTCACGTGGCCCCAGGGAAGGTTCATGGCCAATCAGACTTTAAATATGTAATCTTTCTTAAACTATTTAATTTTGTTAAATTTTTAAAATGCGCTAAAAAGTATTATGAAATCCGCAAATTAAAAATAAAAACATTTTATACGTACAAAGAGAAGATGCTCACAGATAAAGCCACAATTAAAAGTTGAAAAAGAAAATAAGAGCCCTAAAAGCCTAGTGCTTAATCTCAAAAATAGACAAATCTTTGACCTTAAATTATTTAACAAATACTGATTTTAAAGAATGTATTTATTAACCGTAACCGTAAACTTTGAGAATAATATATTTAAGTTTTTTTCAAAGCATTTATTTGTGGTGTATGGAACAAAGAAGAAGACTTATTGTCAAAAAAATATTGTCAGAAAAAAAAAACAATTTAAGGAAATGTTCAACATTTTTCTTAGAATTAAGTCATTTTGCTTGCGACAGAATATTTATTAGCTAAAATGTTTACTATTTATTAAAAATTAAATGCCCTATCCCCTATTTCACCTTCAACAAACATTCCCTTTAAACAATACTTAAATCTTATTAGATTTTCCATACAAAAAAAAATTTGCAGGATTTTGTTGAAAAATACTTTATAATTAATTATTAATGTTTCTTTGTTTTCTAGATTTATCTAGTTTTGATAACTATTTTTAATATTCTTTAAGATAATTTCTTATTTCTAGGTTTTCGTTGTTGGAGTAAGTATATCTGGAATGACTCATTTCTCCGAGAAAACTATCGATGAATATATTGAGAAGGATGAAAACTCTCTTTTCTTCATATTGTCCTACATTCTTCTAGACACCAGGGAGACATTCTTTTTCATATTTCATAATTTAAGGTTTACAAGTTCACTTTCTTCATATTGTCCTACATTCTTCTAGACACCAGGGAAACATTCTTTTTCATATTTCATAATTTAAAGTTTACAAGTTCACTAATTCTTCATATTGTCCTACATTCTTCTAGACACCAGGGAGACATTCTTTTTCATATTTCATAATTTAAAGTTTACAAGTTCACTTTCTTTATATTGTCCTACATTCTTCGAGACACCAGGGAAACATTCTTTTTCATATTTCATAATTTAAGGTTTACAGTTCACTTTCTTCATAATTTCCTACATTAGTCTAGACACCAGAGAGACATTCTTTTTCATATTTCATAATTTAAAGTTTACAAGTTCACTTTCTTCATATTGTCCTACATTCTTCTAGACACCAGGGAGACATTCTTTTTCATATTTCATAATTTAAGGTTTACAAGTTCACTTTCTTCATAATTTCCTACATTAGTCTAGACACCAGGGAGACATTCTAATTTATTTTCATAATTTAAAGTTTACAAGTTCACTAATTCTTCAATCTTCATATTGTCCTACATTCTTCTAGACACCAGGGAAACATTCTTTTTCATATTTAAAGTTTACAAGTTCACTTTCTTTAAATATAATATTGTAAACAACTATACGCACGCCTATTCTGAATAATTGCAGCTTTCAGCTTTTTTAATTTTAATTTAAAATTCATTAACATTTATCAACGTGTTTTTTTCATTTCTCAGCTAATCGCATATTACACAATGCACTTGTAAACTTAAGCGCAAAGAATATTTTTCGTTCAATAAGTTAAAAGATTATAAGAATTGTTCAGTGCTAACCTTCTCTCCATCCTTGGTTTAATCAGTATCTTTGGTTTGTATATCAGATACCACAACCTGTACTGGTAAGTACAATGCTTGGTTTAATCAGTATCTTTGATTTGTATCTCAGATACCACAACCTGTACTGGTAAGTACATGTTTCTTTGTTTAATCAGTATCTTTGGTTTGTATATCAGATACCACAACCTGTACTGGTAAGTACATGATGCTTGGTTTAATCAGTAGCTTTGGTTTGTATATAACAACCTGTACTGGTAAGTACATACATGACAAATATGTATTAATATGTTCTGTAGAAATTAAGTTTTTAATAACAAACTCTGATTTTATAACCTGATATCATTGTAACCAAATATGAATTATTTTAGAGGAAATAATATAGATTTGAAATATTTAAGGTTGTATTTTAAATTTTCCAAAATCATTATCTTAAAAATCTGAATATTCTTGATTTATATTATTTATTCTAGTCATGGGAAGAATGTGGTGTCAGGGTATAGGCTGAAAACCAATATAAATAAGTTTATAGAGTCACACAGGTAAGCTATCTAGTTAAGTTGAGGTTTAAGATTCATTATTTTATAATTTTGTCACATTAATAAGCCACTGCACTTGTGGAAAATGTAAGGGGTTTATACTATAAATGAGATATGAGAACGTAATAAAAAATGTAAAGGAATTGAGTCTTTGTCACAAAATCAAATGTTTTTTACCCCAATATATGTGTTATCTGATAGCGTAAAACTTTAATATTTCAAACTTATATTATTTGATCTAACAGAATTCTTAGTTTGAAATATCTAAGATCTACGACATTGGGTGCAGGCAAAGACATTGTGATAAGAAAATCAGAGTTTGTGGCAAAGACTCAATTCCTTTAACTTGCAATTTATTTTTGATCCTTATTCTTTGAAAATAGATTTTTTTCGAAAGTTCAAATTAACCTTTAACAAATGTCCATAAGTAAGCTTTTTAGCTGTAGATGAGAAAAATCGGATTTTTGATGAAGAAACATAATGAATCATTGAACTAATCAGTACATTACTTTATTTAAACTCGACTACGCCGTTTTCTAGGAATGTTCTGGAGATTGATAATAAGCCGAGTAAAAACAAATATCATCCCATCACGTGCGGGGTTCAACCGGTCATCTCAGGACAAAGGATTTGTTCTTTATGAAGAATACCATCATAGGTATTATCAATACTAGAATATGCTATTGCTCTCCTCTTAAAGTCTCAGTTCTGAAACAAATATACCTCTAAGCATTTGACCGATTTGCCTCATACTTTTATTGGGGAACTTAATAGAACCAGGGAAACTTAGCTTAGTTTAAAGATTAAAGGTTAGTAAACTTGTAAATTTATATTTTATTTTTAACAAACTGCAGTGCCCAGCGTTGTTCAGGTTTCTATTATTATTCATTGTTATAGCTACTCCTGCGTTTACCCACGCTATTAAATCATGTTTTTAGCCGAGGTGTCCGGCGTTGCCAGTGGAATTTTATCAAAAAAATAGCATAGGTTCCCTCCAAAAATGTCAGCCAATTTGGTCCATCCATTTTGTCAGTTATTGTGAAATATAAGAAATGTTGAATTGTTGAATCGTAAGTTGTAGGAATTCTGACCAACATACAAGCAAACTTATGTGTATGTGATGCTATTATAAAGCATATATTTTACCAGTTTCTTAAAAATTAACTTATTAAGTAAGTGATATATTTAGGTCACTTAACAGTGCACAATTGCTGTGTTAAATTTTTATTGGACTGTTTAAAATCTTAAATTGAGTTTAATAGTCTTAATATTCCACAGTTTGATAGGTCTCACTGTACAAAATAAAATAAAATGGGAAATGTGCGGTAATTCTCGAATTTGATCATGTTCACTCTTTTTAATGCGGAGTAAATAAGAAAACACTATTTTTATTTATTTCTTCATGTTTCCCAACTATGATAAAAATGTTTGCTAAAAAGTTGTTCGTAAAAGTCGGGGTTTGAACATGTCTGCAAAACTGTAGGGAAAAGATTCATATTATTGCTCAACCGAAAAGTTAGTTTACATGGATTTCTTGATTTGGTAAAGACGAGTTGAAAACGTGGAGGTATGCTGCCATTACAACGGACTTAATGTTGATTGTTGATCCATAATCCAATGGGTCATGTAAGGTCCCACACTCAATTTGGGCCCGATCAGTTCTGTCAGACAAACAAACAAAGAGAGGAGCAAAGTATATGTGTACGTAAAGATTAATCTTTACAGGTTTTTGGAAGAAGGGGAAAAAAGACTTGCTCTAATGAAATCATATAATCAATTTCTTTATGAGATGCTTGAAGTCCCAGACAAGCTGAGGTTAGTAATACACCTTTAATAGTTTCTTACAAATAGATTGTTAAGTACAATAGATGGAATCGTAGTATTTGTACACTCTCAGTACAGTTGTATTCTTACGTCACAAGTGTCACATCAGTATTGTGTCCGACAAAAATATTTATAATAGTGATAATTTTAGAATAAAGAGCTTATCTTACAGTGAAAAATATGCAATTTATGCGTTATTTATTTTCTGTTTTTACACTTTTTTATTTAATCTTGAAAAACATGTCAAATAATGTGAGAAAATTTCGTTTTCCTTGTTATACTTTACACTTGTGACGTCGTGTATAATAGATCCATTTATCTGTTGCCACCTATTGTACTTGATAATCTATTTGGTTTCTTGGCTTACTTTTTTACTGAATTACATGGCAAAAATAAATTATGTTTCGGGAAAGCCTTTAAAAATTTATTCTGTGGGGTCACAAAATAATGGATGGCATCGCGTTAAAGGGTGCCAGAGCGTCAGGAACCCGTCGGTCGCGGGGTGCAATTTCAACTATTAACGTTTCTTATTTTATATCTCGAAGTTTACGTAGGTGCCTTCCAGTTGGAAATTATTCACACTAAAATGGATTAGACAGGATGTTCCTCTAAACATGACAGTAAATTGAAAACATGATTTGAGCTTTGAAATAATTACGGTACATTCGTTACCACTTTTTATACTTGAAACAATAATCACAAAATAACTGTAATATTGGAAGCACAAAAGAGGCAGACCACATTTTGGAAATGCCAGGCCAAGAATTTTAATTGTAAAATTAGGTTGATTTACTAATGTCGCAAATTTTGTCGCAATATCAAAGATGAACTTTAGTTGAAGTAAAAGTAGGCGGCCTAGAATTGAGAAAATCAAGTTTAAACTCGTTTATTTTAGTCAATTAGAGACATGGCATGTAAAGCAGTTTGATGAAAGTCTTCTCCCAGTCTATGGTTGGATTCAAGAAACAGGTAGGATGGGATGGATTGAAGAGACAAGATTACAAGGATGGGAAGGTGAGGAGAAGGATCAGAAGGAATGGAACCAAGATTTTGGAGGATTAGGATGGAACGAGATGAATGAATGGAACGATGAGCTGGTCAATCTGGGATTAGATGTAGAATCGGAGGGTTCAGAATTTAGGAAACTGTTGGCAGATTGGGCAGAGAAGGAGGCTAGCAAACTAGGACAAGGAGCATCTGAGACAATGGAGGCTAGCAAACTAGGACACGGAGCATCCGAGACAAGGGAGGTTAGCCAACTAGGACAAGGAGCCTCAAAGACAAGGGAGGCTAGCAAACTAGGACAAGGAGCCTCAGAGACAAGGGAGGTTAGCCAACTAGGACAAGGAGCCTCAGAGACAAGGGAGGTTAGCCAACTAGGACAAGGAGCCTCAGAGACAAGGGAGGCGAGCAAACTAGGACAAGTAGCCTCAGAGACAAGGGAGGTTAGCCAACTAGAACCTGAAGCATCCAAGACCGCGAAAATAAAAAGAAGGAAGTATACTAAAAGATCTAAACCTAATGGAAGAAAAGAAGAAAACCAGAACGGTCAGCTGGTGGAACTAGGTGGAGAATACTTTTCCAACCTAGAGTCAGGATTTCAAGTTCAAGGTTCAAGGTTTCTCAGGCATCAAGATTTCAACTATGGAAATCTTATTGCTGTTCCTGCTCCTATATTTGTAATGTTTGGTTTTCCTACTGGAGCTCAATATAAAAACTGAATTTGATGTTCAATGTTAAATGAAATATTTTTTTTCAGATGGTTTAAAACAAAAATGCAGAGCTTCGACTTTTTAGGTGTTCACAATCGGTTATAGGTTGAAACATAATATACTATAGTTCATATTTTGTGATAAACATATAAAGATCTTTTATGATTGTAAACCAATTTCTATTTCGAAGCAGATCAAATAATGTTTAAGTTACCACTTTGTTGTAATGAATAAACATAAAGCTAAAGGAACTGATTCTTTGTCACAAACTCAAATTTCTAATCCATCTTTGCAACCTGCTGACAAAAACCATTGATATTTCCAAGGTATATATTTCAATCTTAGATTATTTGGCCTAACAGAATTCTTATTTTAAAATATTTAAGGTCTACGAAATTGGGTTGCAAAAATATACGCAATTTTACAATTATTTTATTTGAAGTATTTGTAATCTGTTTGGAGTATAGAACTATACTATTTGTAAAGATCTCTATCATATGAAATCTTTAGGAGGATTAGATATAATTAACAACTTAATTTAATCAAAATCTAATCAATAAAAAAATTATTAAAAATCCGAATAAAATGGAAATATTAATAATATTTAAATTTGATTTCCTGACTAAACTAAACAATGTATCAAGATTTTATGTTATTTTGTTTGTAAGTTTAAAGCTTAACTATAGATCATCATTATTTAGCAATTATAAAACATAAATACTTTAAATACGATTAATTGCTTGATTTCGTATCGTTTTCATATTTAAACCGATATTTTAGCAATGAGGATATAAATAAATGATTGCTCCCTTTAGTTCAACTTTTAGTTCAACTTTCAAACTTTAGAATCGTGGATATCAAAATCAATGCTTAATCTCCTCTTTTTCTTAAACTCTAGAATAAATAATGCTTGTTCTCCTTTTTTTTAAGCTCCAGATTAAATAATGCTTGTTCTCCTCTTTTTCTTAATCTCCAGATTAAATAACCGATCGGGATTAAGGACATCAAATTCAAAAGTTTAAAGCTCAGGTCTGAATAAGATAGAGATAAATGTTTAATCCCGAAGTTATCCCTCCAGGTCTGAATAAGATAGAGATTAATGTTAGATCCAGAAAGTTATCCCTCCAGGTCTAAATAAGATAGAGATAAATGTTTAATCCCGAAGTTATTCCTCCAGGGCTAAATAAGATAGAGATTAATGCTTTATCCCGAAGTTATCCCTCAAGGTCTAAATAAGATTGAGATTAATATTTGATCCCGAAGTTATCCCTCAAGGTCTAAATAAGATAGAGATTAATATTTAATCCCGAAGTTATCCCTCCAGGTTTAAATAAGATAGAGATTAATATTTAATCCCGAAGTTATCCCTCCAGGTCTGAATAAGATAGAGATTAATGTTTAATCCCGAAGTTATCCCTCCAGGTCTGAATAAGATAGAGATTAATATTTAATCCCGAAGTTATTCCTCCAGGTCTAAATAATATAGAGATTAATGCTTTATCCCGAAGTTATCCCTCAAGGTCTAAATAAGATTGAGATTAATATTTGATCCCGAAGTTATCCCTCCAGGTCAGAATAAGATAGAGATTAATGTTTGATCCTTATTTTAGATGTTAAAAAAATCGGATAAATATTTTTTAAATGAAATACTAGCTGAAGAAAATACCCGGCGTTGCCCGCAGAATATACTCATGAGTAATAAAAAATGTCAGCAAATTCGGTATAGCCGTTTCGCCAGCTATAGCTAACAGATATTCATACATACATCCTGAAGATTGCATAGCAAGAAACATAATGTTGATACAATAAAAATTCAAATCATATGTTGAATACTTCTTTTTTATATAAAAATATATATATACATGTCAATAGAACATTTGCTAGACTTACTTAGATATATATATATATATATATATATATATATATATTTCAGCTTTTAAACTTCACATTTTATTAAAAAAGAATTATACTAAACATAATTGTTACACGACTCATGACGATCCTCAGTAGTCAAAATTCTTTGAACAACTATATGTATTGTCAATTGTATGCAACATCACTGGTACAGCTTTATGACCTTGTATCTCCCCATGTTTTGATTTTACGCACAAGAAAGAAAACAGCCAATGTTTCCGGTTACATTTTAGAAATTCAAAACTTTAGAATTAAAAATGTTTAAGCTTTCAATATTACATGCAATTTACTTTATTTTGAAGTGAGGAGATTACATTGCATTGCAACAGTATAGGTTTTACAGAAATTAAACGGAAATGATACAAAAAGTACACGGCAATGATACAAAAAGTACACGGCAATGATACAAAAAGTACACGGCAATTATACAAATATATACACGGCAATGATACAAAAATTGCACGACAATGATACAAAAATATACACGGCAATGATACAAAAATCATACGGCAATGATACAAAAATCATACGGCAATGATACAAAAATTACACGGCAATGATACAAAAATTGCACGGCAATGATACAAAAATTACACGGCAATGATACAAAAAATGCACGGCAATGTTACAAAAATTACACGGCAATGTTACAAAAATTGCACGGCAATGTTACAAAAATTACACGGCAATGTTACAAAAATTGCACGGCAATGATACAAAAATATTGGAATGGATATGTCCAGGGATCATACTGTATTAGTGTGATGTACTGCGTATAATTTGTGAACATTTACACTTTGAACTCCCTTTCAGGCTGAAAGGGACTGACAAAATTCATACCGAGGGATTGTTTAAATTCCGCTCTATTATATTCTATTCTAAGAGTCAAATGTTTTTATAAAGTCTAAATTCTATTTTTTCATTGGAGATTAATTTTAATAATAAATATTGATTGATATCTAATTGAATTATATTCACAGTGAGAACCAGAATATATTAAAATAATTGTCGATTTTGCAACTAAACTATTTCTAAATAAGTGGTCTAAACATTTTGAGAGATATACCATTTGCATTATTTAAAAATTAAAAATACTTGGCAAAACTTATTAAGTAATAGGAAGAAAAATGTCGACATACATTGCACATTTTTCTGGTCCTTACTGTATTAAAGGGACTGTAGATGAAATTTCAAGTGACCCTCCAGTAATAGATTCTCAACAGTACACTTAAACACTTGATACGATGAAATAAAAATAATCTTTTTGGAAAGTTGATATTTTTTATTGTGGAATCTGCTTGAGAAACACTATGAAGGAGATTGTCAGAATTAAACACTTTTCAAGCTAAAAGTATCTTTTAAAGATTTGATCAGATAAAGATTTAATTGGTATCGTTGTTTCTATCTTTAAATGGAAATCATAATCTTATTCTACAGCTTTCTGTATGTATATAGACAGGAATACAGAGAATTATTTAAATCATGCTCCCGACTAGGGTCCTTTAAAATAAATCGTAAATAAAATATTCATGACAAAACAAAAATAGATTTTTAATATTTATGCCTTAAACCATGCGGAAAGAGTCGCAAAACTGAAAACATTGCAAAATATTATGAAATTATAAAAATTGCAAAGTAATTCTAAATTTAAAAAAAACATTCTGTTCTGTGCGGTAGAATAATATTCTGCTAGGAATATATTTCAAGAATATTTGAGAATATCTTTCATGTATATTTTGTAATATATCTAAAATATATCTGGTTAATCAAATCAAATCAAAGAGTTTTCACAATTTATATTATAATTGTCGTCGTAAATGGACAAATACAAGTATAAAAGTTGGTTAATAATAAATGCTTTGATTATTTAATGCATTTCCTAAAAAATAATTTCTAAAAATGTTGTTAAAATAGCCATATATCGGTATTTAACGATAAACGTATTTCCCCCCATAGTACACTTTTTTCAAGAAATGCGGGAAAAATCGGGGGGAAATCCGGGAAAATCCGGGCAAATCCGAGAAAATGCTCACTTTTACTTCAACCTTTGAAGGAGAAGGTGCACTCTCAACTTGAAGAAAATCCGAAAATGCCGAATCTGTCTACCTCTGAGAGTATTCTCAAGGTGTTCCAACCACCACGAGAATGTCTGCTCAATGCTGCTACGGCGGAAAAGAAGAAAGAAGCATTGTTAACAGCCTTTCTGTTTAAACCTACTCTTGGAGTTCAATGGCTGCCGGATAATGTAAAGTTCAGTAGAACTTCCTCTCCGCTAATAATTGAGGTAAATATTCATACTTTTAGGGGAAATATTGATTTTATATTCTATTTTTATGACATTATTTTTAGTTCAATATCATTAAACAATGATATTTTAGACTAATGTAACTTCTTCTATTGGAAGACAACTGATCCTTCAATCTAGTGGTTGTAGATCAGTTGAACAATCCAAGATGGAGAGGTATTTTGTGTTCTATATTTGTTTTTCATTTGAAAACATATTTTAGAGCACAAATTTTATCTTTAATGTCTGAAAAATGCCTGAATATTTTTCTAAATATGATTAATTTCAGCTTGTCTGCATTATTTCGCTCTTCACTTCTTCAAAGCCTAGCAGCTTGTCCCCCATATCGTCGATGTCGTAGCTTCCTGATTCAACTTGATGGAATAAACCAGCATCTGGGTTTATTCCCAGCACTGTTCTCTAGCTCCCGGTCAACCTAGTCAAGCCTTCACAGCCTGGTCAAGATTCACTGTTTGTATTTTTTATAATTTTTAATGAAGTATAATATACACATGTATAAAATGTGACGAGGTACATTATATATACATATGTATATTTCTAAAACTTAATTATTCTTCAAATTCAACTCAGTTTTCCCCTCAATGTTAATTTTTTTGAATTCAGAATAATATACATGAGTACTAAATGTGACGGGGTACATTATAGACAAATGTATATTATACTTAATCAAAAAAATTACAAACAGATTGTATATTAACATTATTTAAACTTTAATTATTACTCGCTCAGTTCTTAGCTGATAACAATTTGCCAGCAACACAGAATACAGTGAGCGGGTATGAAACCCAGCTTATTTATCATTTATTCTTAATGCATATATGATGATAAATAAGTTTTGATACAAGTTTAGCATAATTTGACATAAAAATAAAAATTAATGAAGCAATATGCCTCCTTGTGTCAATGTTAAATATAATTTTATAAGCATTAAAACAGTGCTTATAAAATTATATTTGATAGGGGACTGGTAGCTCCAGTTATCAGCTAAAAATCAGTGTTTAGTTTTAATTTGTGGTTATAGTGTTTATCTGTGTTTAGTGTTTATATTTGTTTAGAGTTTATATGTGTTTAGAGTTTATATGTGTTTAGTGTTTATGTTTGTTTAGTGTTTATATGTGTTTAGAGTTTATATGTGTTTAGTGTTTATATGTGTTTAGTGTTTATATGTGTTTAGAGTTTATATGTGTTTAGTGTTTATATGTGTTTAGTGTTTATATGTCTTTAGTGTTTATGTGTGTTTATTGAAAATCTGCGTATTTATAAATATTTTATTTTTAATTTTCTCCAGGTTTGGATTTCAACCTGCATCCATGATAGAGGAGCTAATGAGGTTTGAGAAGGAACAGCATGATTCTAATTTCTAGGGTAATGTGGTAATATTTTATATTTTATGTTTTTTACTCCTACAAAAGTACTAGGGGACTTGTAGCTCCAGTTCTTAGCTAAAATTCCTCAAGAAACAAAATAACAGATTTAACATATATTTTTATTTAGGACATCCCTTCTACTACATCCTCAACAGTAAACAAAAAGAACTCCAGATCTCCAGAGTTCTACTCCAACATCAACACACAGAACTCTAGATCTCCAGAGTTCTACTCCAACCTCTACATAGAGAACTCCAGATCTCCAGAGTTCTACTCCAACCTCTACATACAGAACTCCAGACCTTCAGAGTTCTACTCCAACCTCTACATAAAGAACTCTAGATCTTCAGAGTTCTACTCCAACCTCTACATAGAGAACTCCAGATCTCCAGAGTTCTACTCCAACCTCAACATACAGAACTCCAGATCTCCAGAGTTCTACTCCAACCTCAACATACAGAACTCCAGATCTTCAGAGTTCTACTCCAACCGCTACATAGAGAACTCCAGATCTCCAGAGTTCTACTCCAACCTCTACATACAGAACTCCAGATCTTCAGAGTTCTACTCCAACCTCTACATACAGAACTCCAGACCTTCAGAGTTCTACTCCAACCTCTACATACAGAACTCCAGACCTTCAGAGTTCTACTCCAACCTCAACATAGAGAACTCCAGATCTCCAGAGTTCTACTCCAACCTCTACATAGAGAACTCCAGATATGACAGAGTATTAAATATGCTTATTAAACATTTTATGTTATATTATTGGTATGGATAAATATTTCATTCTAAACTTTTCAGACTTTATCTATATAATAAAACAAGACATTCGTAAATATTTTCCCTATAGCCGGCCAAATGGCTGGATCGAATGGGCTGACATTTTTTGTGGACACTCATGAGTAGCCTGGGGGTGACATAGGCTAAATAATATTCGATTTTTTCAAATTTTTTTTTTCAAACTTTGTTTTTTAAACATTTTTTCCACGGGCAACGCCGGGCACTACAGCTAGTTTAATTTTATAAATTCTTTACATAAAAAGATTGTTGAATATTGGATTTCCTAAAAAGAATGACAAAACACAGTTATATATCAACTTCTCGAGACAGGAACATCAGATAGATGTTTTATATGTATCGTTTAACGCCTGAGATTCTCAGGTTTCATCCTAAACCCTCTTTCATTTTTCATGTACAGTCCTTTTAAGAAGTTTATTTCTAACGCTTTTGTCAAACATTCTCCAGTATAATGATTGGTCCTGGAAACCCAAGTTTGTCGATAAAATTTTATCCGTACTTTCCTATTCTTCAAGATGTTATTGTTAAGTTGATGCATCTTATAAATTTAAGTAAATAGCATTAATAGATTAAATTTGGTTTGACAGTAGACTTTCAGCGTTACCCGGATAAAGTGCGCAATGATATTTGTAAAATATTTTTTGTGCAGAAACGACTGTCCGGAATGTTTCTTTACATTCATGTTTTGTCAGCGCAACTTTAAACTTGTTTCTTTCTTTTTCAAGATATATTTAAGATAGAAGACTAACATGAGGGTTGTGATAGTTTAAAAGTTTTAGTTCGTCTTTATAGTCTTATCCTTGCGAGTTTTACATGAAATGCTGGAACGAAAGAAAGAAAGATCTCACTTCCTTTTTTATTAGATTTTTGAAAAGAAATTATCAGGGGAAAAACTCGATTTCCGGGGTTTGATTTAATTTTTTGTAGATTAACATTAGAACAAATGTTATTGATCTTAAATGTAGACATTTTCGACATCTGAGCTTTATATAGCGAGTGACGTGTCCAAACGTCTTTTTTCATAACAAACAAAAATGGAAAACTTAAAAATTTTGGATTTATTTAATAAAAAACAAAAACATATTTTGAATACTAGGCTTTAGGGGCGCTTTGAAGGCCGATTGCAATTTGGAAATCCTATATAAGGATAAGGGATATACTATAGGGATAAGGGATATACTATAGGGATAAGGGATATACTATAGGGATAAGGGATATACTATAGGGATAAGGGATATACTATAGTCATAAGGGAAATCCTATAGGGATAAGGGAAACCTTATAGGGATAAGGGAAATCCTATAGAGATAAGGGAAACACTCTAGTGATAAGGGAAATAAAGTGTTTGTCAATATTTAACTATGCAAATGAAAACCAGATCGAGAATATTTTTCTTTATACTTTAATAATCAAAAATACTGTATTATGTAATCGTAAAAAGTGGTCTAGTTAGTGTGCAGTATTGGTAAATGTTTAAAAATGCTTAAATTTTATAAGAAGATCTAACAATATGCAGGGTGTCTCAAAACAAACGGAGAATAAGGATCTGTAGACACTTATGAAATTTAATTTTAAATTTTTAAAATTTACGTATAATGTTTGATTCAATGGGCTCAATTTCAGACTTGTAGATATAAAAAAAATGACAAAAAATGAAATCCATAAAATTCTGATGCGGATCCCGATCCTGGAAAAAATTAATCCAGACCCGGGTCCAGGTCATACATGAACATTTTTAAGATTTAATGATTTTTTTTTTAACAAGAAGAATTGTCAATTTATTTTTCTTCTTTTTTCGCTAATTTTTGTGACCCATTCAGATATCAGGAAATGTTAATAATCTGCTCTCTTTTCAACAGTTCAAATTTGGCTTTTGAGAGTAAAAAAGTTATTTATTTCAGTTTTTGGTTGATATTTTGCCCCTTGGATCCGGATCCAAGGATTCATATATTTTTGTGGATCCTGACTCAGAAAGCTAAAACCTTGTTTATGATCCGGATCCTAAGCACTGCCTTTAATTAATAAGCTGAGATGAATTATGCCTGGTGTAGAGAGATGAATATGCTTGAACCCCCTTCTCGTATCTCCTGCAACCTTATTCTTGGGTAAGAACAGTTCAGTATTCATTGAACAAAGAATTTACATTCTTTTGTGTACCGTCCTCTTTCTTTGTTTTTATATTCATTGAGAATTTAAAGTTATGTCAAAAGTTTGTAAAAAAGTTTATTTATTGACTCATCTATGTTTTTTATGAACTGTTCAATGTTTAATTTATTGACTAAACTATGTTTAATTTATTGACTAATCTATGTTTTATTTATTGACTAAACTATGTTTAATTTGTTGACTAATCTATGTTTTATTTATTGACTAAACTATGTTTAATTTGTTGACTAATCTATGTTTTATTTATTGTCTACTCTATGTTTTATTTATTGACTGATCTATGTTTTATTTATTGACTAAACTATGTTTTATATTGACTTATCTACGTTTAATTTATTGACTACTCTATCATCTTGACTAATATATGTTTAATTAATTTACTACTCATGTTTAATTTATTGATTAATAAATTGACTAATCTATGTTTTTATGTATTGACTAATCTATGTTTTATTTATTGACTAATCATGTTTTATCTATTGACATAACTATGTTTTAGTTTTGATTAAACTATGTTTTATTTTTTGACTAGACTTTGTTTTTTATATTGACTAAACTATGTTTTATATACTGACTAAACTATGTTTTATTTTTTGACGAAAATATGTTTTATATATTGACTAAACTATGCTTTATTTTTTGACTAAACTATGTTTTATATACTGACTAAACTATTTTTTATTTTTTGACTAAACTATGTTTTATATACTGACTAAACTATGTTTAATTTATTGACTAAACTATGATTTATATATTGACTAAACTATGTTTTATCTTTTGACTAAACTATGTTTTATATACTGACTAAACTATGTTTTATTTTTTGACTAAATTATGTTTTATATATTGACTAAACTATGTTTTATTTTTTGACTAGACTATGTTAATTTATTGACTAAGCTACGACTAGTCCAAATAAATTTATCAATTCTATATATTTAACGATTAGTCTAAATGTTCATATTTCAAGTCTATATGTTTGCCTTCTAGTCTAAATGACTATTTATCAATCCTATTTATTTTACGACTAACCGAAATGTTCATTTGTCTAGTCTATATATTTAACGACTAGGAGTGAAATCTAAATGTTCATTTGTCTAGTCTATGTACTTAACAACTAGTCCAAATGTTTATTTGTCAAGTGTATCATGTTTAATGACTAGTCTTAATGTTCATATGTCAAGTATATATGTTTAATGACTAGTCTAAATGACTATTTGTCAAGTCTATATATTTAAAGACTAGTCTAAATGACTATTTGTGATGTCTAAATGTTTTACAACTAGTCTAATTGACTATTTGTGAAGTAAGTCTGTATGTTTAAAGACTAACCTAAATGACTATTTGGGAAGTCTGTATGTTTTACGACTAGTCTAAATGACTATTTGTCAAGTTTTACGACTAATTTAAATGATTATTTGTTAAGTCTATATGTTTAACGACTAGTCTAATTGACTTTTTGTCAAGTCTGCATGTTAAACGACTAGTCTAAATGATTATTTGTGAAGGTTATATGTTTAACGACTAGTCTAAATGACTATTTGTCTAGTATGCACTGCATACTTTGGGCTGGAATTCTGCTGAGAATCCTTGCTATTGTATACTCAGGACAATTACAGGTTATTTATTAATTTAAACAAAGATTTTTTTGTCTTTTTGCTATATTTTTTTACTTATATAAAATTATATCACTTCGCAAACCTACAAATACAAAAGTTTATCTTGTACACAAGAAGAATTATATTTTTTCCACAACGGGTTTAAATATAATTTTTAAAGTAGAAAATATAAAGTGTACACTTTAACTTTAATTATAGATTCTGGATTTTAACTCCTTAGTTCGTATCATGAGCGGAGACACTATTCCAGAGAAGGACAGATTATCTGCTAGACTTGTTCATGTTATTTTGTTTATTGTTACATGTCAAGGTAAACATTTTGTTATGTTCTTATTCATAAATTATGTCACTCAAAAATATGTTTGAACGGTGGAATTTTATTAATAGAATGTACTGTATTGTGGAGAAATTTTTACTAGTCATTATTCATCAATGACGACGAAAAATGTAGCAATAATTCTACAGTAAACTAATTAATTGTTTAGGAACAGGATAAGAAAATAAAAATTAACTATTATCATCGAAAGTAAGTTATCTTATTCAGTTATTGGTTTCTGTAATGTCTCATTGTTTACAAACATTTTCTTAAGATTTTCAGGAATTTTTATTGAAAAGACGACATTTGAAGAATATGAAGAAATCTGCGAACAAATTCATAATGAATAAGAAATTCATTATAATGATGAAAAAGAATTAATTGATTATTGATTTATTGAGAAAATTTCAATTGAGAAATATGTAGAATTTTTTTACTTTTTAGTTAACTTTATTTAATTATTTTAAAAAAAAACCGATTCTTATGAACGTAACAACCCAATGGAATGTCGACTTTGCGCTCAAACTTTGTAATTATACACCATTAAAACGTTTTTTAGGTTTCAAATGAATCCTAAATAAATTCTCTGCTATACTACATTCTCAGTTTAACTACCATACATTCCCGTTCACTCCCTTTAATAAACGGATTTTCAGACTATAGATACTACTATTTGCTTTATTAAAAAATCACAAAATTCTCACTTTGTTACACAGTTTACCAATCTTAAATCTGTATGTAATGTTGGGTTTTGTTATTTTTCGCTGTTATGGGATTCTAGGATTTTTGGCTTAGGAGGCTTTAAAAAAGATATACAAAATTTCATTTTCTGTCAGTTTTTAGGTTTTACTTAATGAAATTTGAATCTGACAGAAGATATAAGTCTGAACGAAACCAAACCAACTGTTTAGTTATAGAACACTTTTAGAGAATCTATTTTAGTAATATGTATAGTCTCCTGAATGTTTAAAAAACGCATATTAACGTATTTGTATCGAAGCCATTTAGAAACAAAGCTATATTAATTAAAAGTCCTTTGCTGTCTTAACTAATTCAAAGTTAATTATTTATACTGACGTGTGTTTTGAAATTCTCATATTTTTCATGTTAACTGGGGGAGTTACAAAGTCGTTAAGTTGTATCAGTAATGGCGCATAAAATTAACGTCTTTGTCTTATGTAGATAGACCTATCACTGTATATTCTCTATTAATAATGAACTTCTATTCTCCTTGTTCTAGGTATTCTCCCTCATGTGTATGTTCTTGCAATGACTCGAGAGAACAGTTCTATCTGGCAGTTTATTATTTTGATCCTAGTTCTCGCTGTAATTGTCTACAATCATGTTATCATCTTTATTACAAGGGTAATTAATTAGTAATTCTATCTTGTGCTATCATTTAGATGTACAGGGGGTCCTATGTGTATGTAGCAACCACTATATTGTTTTGAAGAAGGAAGTAGTTGTACTTCCCTCATATGTGTATGTAGCCTCTACTTTATTGTATTGTAGAAGGTAGTAGTTGAACAGTCCCCTACGTGTATGTAGCAACAGCACTGTGTTGTATTGTAGAAGGTAGTAGTTCAACAGTCCCCTATGTGTATGTAGCAACCACTATATTGTATTGTAGAAAGAAGTAGTTCAACAGTCCCCTATGTGTATGTAGCAACCACTATATTGTATTGTAGAAGTAAGTAGTTAAACAGTCCCCTATGTGTATGTAGCAACCACTATATTGTATTGTAGAAGTAAGTAGTTAAACAGTCCCCTATGTGTATGTAGCAACCACTGTATTGTATTGTAGAAGGAAGTAGTTGTACCTCCCTTCTATGTTTATGTACAGTGAAACCCTTAATAACGAATACATCGAAAGAATTCATCAAATGTCGTATTCTTCACTTTCATATAATGGAATGTTGCAGATATTTAGTTTTTTAATTAAATGATTATATGGAACTCTTTAAAACTGTTACCGCATATTCATGGCTATTTATTTATTTTCGCAAATACTAAAATTTACGTAATATAGTATAAAACTCATTGAAAAATTGTCNTATGTAGCAACCTCTATATTGTATTGTAGAAGATAGTAGTTGAACAGCCTCCTATGTGTATGTAGCAACCTCTATATTGTATTGTAGAAGATAGTAGTTCAACAGCCTCCTATGTGTATGTAGCAACCTCTATATTGTATTGTAGAAGATAGTAGTTCAACAGCCTCCTATGTGTATGCAGCAACCTCTATATTGTATAGTAGAAGATAGTAGTTGAACAGCCTCCTATGTGTATGTAGCAACCTCTATATTGTATTTCAGAAGATAGTAGTTCAACAGCCTCCTATGTGTATTTAGCAACCACTATTTTGTATTGTAGAAGATAGTAGTTCAACAGCCTCCGACGCAAGAAGAGATGAACCTCTTGGTGGAGGTTGTGTCAAGGATAGAGAGCATGGTTAATAGAACTACCCAGGAGGAGGAGGAGGGCGAGGATAGACATATTGGACCCATCTTACATCACCAAGAGAACTGTGAAAAGGGAGATTCAAAGATTGATACTTTTGATCATTTGATAATCGATTTTTACTAATTTTTTAGGTCAAAAAAGGTTATGGGCATGAGTTTAAACCATAATAAATTTAAAACTCCGCCGGGAGAAATGATCCGACTGAACTAAGTTTAAAGAAAATGGGGCTCTAATTACCAAGCTTGTTTTATAAAACTTTCTGTTAAACAGTTATTTGAATTTTAATCCTATCCTCAACACACTGAAGGAAAAAGGAATGGCATAGGGGTCGAATCCTTTAAAGACTTTTCCTTAAAAAAGAACATAAGTGAATATTTATATAAAAAGAATAAGAATAAATCTGTTGAATATTAATACATTAGACCCGGCTATGTTTTCACAGTAGCTTTGCATACATGTCGAACATCTATCTCTTCATCCCCCTCGTCATCACACTCGTCAGGACTCTCTTCACTCTGAGGATGAGAAAGGTAAATGGGAGGGTGGGATTAATATATTTCAATTTTGAAATCTACGAAGTGTAAATTGTTTATAGGACTGTCTTTAAATAACCCTAATTTATTGGGAATGCCTGATTCACAACGGTGCCGCTAAAAAAAACTTTCGTTCTTCTAGCTTGAAAGGCATGTAATTTTGGCAATTTCCACCATTGTCTCTGTGCGCATGCAATTTTGGCAATTTCCACCATTGTCTCTGTGCGCAAGTCAATTTTACAGAGAAACCACAATTGAAAATAGTAAATTTTTAAACAGATAGATATGAATATTTATTCTTTATCAAGTGTACCATTGCGAATCGGACAGGGAACTCTATAAATTAAGAATTACTTGAAATTAGATGGAATGTTTCTTGCTCTTTTATTCTTAGTCTGTTTCAGAGCTTGCTGTTCATAAGTTGATGCTGATCAAAACATTAAATAATAGATAAAATAATATAACATTTCTATTCTAGTGGATTCTGAAGATTCAGTTTGTTGGACCGTTCCTTAGTTTCATAACTTCAACAAGAATAAGGGACTATTCATTCTTTGTCTTTCAGGTCACAACCTTAATGTTCAGTTTAAGGGAGTGTTCGAGAAGTTCCAATTTATAAATATACTTTGCTTGTCTGTCATTGTGTCTGTTTGTTCGTATCCAATAAACGTTAAAATGGCTGAACCGATCAAGCCCAAATTTTGTGTGGGACCTCACGTGGCCCCAGGGAAGGTTTATGGCCAATTAGACTTTAAATATGTAATCTTCCTTAAACTATTTAATTTTGTAAATTTTTTAAATGCACTAAAAAGTATGATGAAATCCGCAAATTAAAAATAAAAACATTTTATACGTACAAAGAAAAGACGCTCATAGATAAAGACACAATTAAAAGTTGAAAAAGAAAATAAGCGCCCTAAAAGTCTAGTGCTTAATCTCAAGAATAGACAAATCTTTGACCTGAAACTATTTAACAAATACTGATTTTAAAGAATGTATTTATTAACCGAAAATGAGCGAATTAGATTCTTACTTTGAGAATAATATATTTCAGTTTTTTTCAAAGCAGTAATTTGTGGTGAATGGAGCAAAGAAGAAGACTTGATTGTCAAAAAAATATTGTCAGAAAAAAAAAACAATTTAAGGGAATGTTTAACATTTTTCTAAGAACTAAGTCATTTTGCTTGCTGTAGAATATTAGCTAAAATGTTTACTCTTCATCAAAATTCAAATGATCTATCCCCTATTTCATTTTCAGCAAACACTCCCTTTAAACAATCTTATTAGATTTTCCATACAAAAAAAATTTGCAGGATTTTGATGAAAAATACTTTTTAATTAAAGGAATTGAGTCTTTGGAACAAAATCAAATATTTAAACCACAATATCTTTAGAACTCGATGTTGTAAACCTTTGATATTTCAAACTCAGATTATTTGATCTAACAGAATTCATAGTTTGAAATATATAAGGTATGCAACATTTGGTTCCAAAGATATAGTGATTAGAAAATCAGAGTTTGTGGCAAAGACTCAACTTCTTTTAATGTTTCTTTGTTTTTTAGATTTATCTAGTTTTGATAACTATTTTTAATATTCTTTAAGATAATTTCTTATTTCTAGGTTTTCTAGATTTATCTAGCTTTGTTAACTATTTTTTATATTCTTTAAGATAATTTCTTATTTCTAGGTTTTCCTAGATTTATCTAGTTTTGATAACTATTTTTAATATTCTTTAAGATAATTTCTTATTTCTAGGTTTTCCTAGATTTATCTAGTTTTGATGACTATTTTTAATATTCTTTAAGATAATTTCTTATTTATAGGTTTTCCTAGATTTATCTAGTTTTGATAACTATTTTTAATATTCTTTAAGATAATTTCTTATTTCTAGGTTTTCCTAGATTTATCTAGTTTTGATAACTATTTTTAATATTCTTTAAGATAATTTCTTATTTCTAGGTTTTCCTAGATTTATCTAGTTTTGATAACTATTTTTAATATTCTTTAAGATAATTTCTTATTTCTAGGTTTTCCTAGATTTATCTAGTTTTGATAACTATTTTTAATATTCTTTAAGATAATTTCTTATTTCTAGGTTTTCCTAGATTTATCTAGTTTTGATGACTATTTTTAATATTCTTTAAGATAATTTCTTATTTCTAGGTTTTCCTAGATTTATCTAGTTTTGATGACTATTTTTAATATTCTTTAAGATAATTTCTTATTTCTAGGTTTTCCTAGATTTATCTAGTTTTGATGACTATTTTTAATATTCTTTAAGATAATTTCTTATTTCTAGGTTTTCCTAGATTTATCTAGTTTTGTTAACAATTTTTAATATTCTTTAAGATAATTTCTTATTTCTGTGTTTTCCTAGATTTATCTAGTTTTGTTAACAATTTTTAATATTCTTTAAGACAATTTCTTATTTCTAGGTTTTCGTTGTTGGAGTAAGTATATCTGGAATGACACATTTCTCCGAGAAAACTATCGATGAATATATTGAGAAGGATGAAAACTCTCTTTTTTTCGTATTGTCCTACATTCTCCTAGATACCAGGGAGACATTCTTTTTCATATTTCATAATTTAAAGTTTACAAGTTCACTTTCTTCATAATTTCCTACATTAGTCTAGACACCAGAGAGACATTCTTTTTCATATTTCATAATTTAAAGTTTACAAGTTCACTTTCTTTAAATATAATATGGAAAACAACTATACGCACGCCTATTCTTAAGAATTGCAGCTTTCAGCTTTTTTAATTTTAATTCAAAATTCATAACCATTTATCAACGTGTTTTTTTTTTAATTTCTCAGCTAATCGCATATTACACAATGCAAATTAAGAATAAGAATTGTTTCAGTGCTAACCTTCTCTCCGTCCTTGGTTTAATCAGTATCTTTGGTTTGTATATCAGATACCACAACCTGTACTGGTAAGTACATAATGCTTGGTTTAATCAGTATCTTTGGTTTGTATATCAGATACCACAACCTGTACTGGTAAGTACATAATGCTTGGTTTAATCAGTATCTTTGATTTGTATATCACAACCTGTACTGGTAAGTACAAGTGTTGGTTTGTATATAAGATACCACAACCTGTACAGGTAAGTACATAGATGACAAATATGTATTAATATGTTCTGTAGAAATTAAGTTTTTACCACAAACTCTGGTTTTATAACCAGATATCATTGTAACCAAATATCGTAGACCTTAGATATTTCAAAATATGAATTATTTTAGAGGAAATAATCTAGATGTGAAATATTTAAGGTTGTATTTTAAATTTTCCAAAATCATTATCTTAGAAATCTAAATAATCTTGTTTTATATTATTTATTCTAGTCAAGGGAAGAATGTGGTGTCAGCGTATAGGCTGAAAACCAATATAAATAAGTTTATAGAGGCACACAGGTAAACTATCTAGTTAAGTTGGGGTTTAAGATTCATTATTTTATAATTTTGTCACATTAATAAGCCACTGCACTTGTGGGAAATGTCAGGGGTATATACTATAAATGAGATATGAGAAAGTAATAAAAAATGTAAATTTAACTTGCAATCTGTTTTTGATACTCATTCTTTGAAAATTGATTTTTTTTCCAAAGTTCAAATTAATCTTTAACAAATGTTCATAAATAAGCTTTTTAGCTGAAGATGAGAAAAATCGGACTTATGGTGAAGAAACATAATGAATCATTGAACTTATCAGTACATTTCTTTTTTTAAACTCGACTACGCCGTTTTCTAGGAATGTTCTGGAGATTGATAATAAGCCGAGTAAAAACAAATATCATCCCATCACGTGCGGGGTTCAACCGGTCATCTCAGGACAAAGGATTTGTTCTTTCGATACAGAGGAGTAGATTCCTGGATATACCAGCACTGGATACAGGGGAGTATATTCCTGGATATACCAGCACTGGATACAGAGGAGTAGATTCCTGGATATACCAGTACTGGATACAGCTGGGAGTATATTCCTGGATATACCAGCACTGGATACAGAGGAGTAGATTCCTGGATATACCAGCACTGGATACAGAGGAGTAGATTCCTGGATATACCAGCACTGGATACAAGGGAGTATATTCCTGGATATACCAGCACTGGATACAGAGGAGTAGATTCCTGGATATAACAGTACTGGATACAAGGGAGTAGATTCCTGGATATACCAGCACTGAATACAGAGGAGTAGATTCCTATACCAGTACTGGATACAAGGGAGTAGATTCCTGGATATACCAGCACTGAATACATAGGAGTAGATTCCTATACCAGCACTGGATACCAGGGAGTAGATTCCTGGATATACCAGCACTTGAGTTATTCTAATATTGTATTTAATGCAAATAAGTGCCCTCACAAACCCAAAAAGACCTTGAAGTAAAAACCTAGTTAAATACTTTTGAACCAAAAATATATATTTATTATTATGTGAACACCAGCTAAATCTTTGTAATATGTAAAATTTTGTTTTTAACTAAAATGCTGTAAATAATCGTTTTTATCAAAATTCAAAAATTGTTTTGTCCTCACTACAGAGTCGAGAATATGCATGTTTAAATAATGTTACTTGTATCATGTGCAATGAGACTACTCTTAAATTAAACAACATTACTTGTAATATGTAAACGAGAGATTATGTCTGTTGTAATTTTTATTTGATTTTAAAAATATTCTTGTGTTAACAGTGTTATTTTATTGTGTTTTAGATAAAAAGATAAAAATAAAGATGAGTTTAAGAATAAAGAAACTACAGAAGAAAATGAATATTTATAGATCTCATCATACTACTGCTGAAGAATACCATCATAGGTATTATCAATACTAGAATATGCTATTGCTCTCCTCTTAAAGTCTCAGTTCTGAAACAAATATACCTCTAAGCATTTATAGATCTCATCATACTACTGCTGAAGAATACCATCATAGGTATTATCAATACTAGAATATGCTATTGCTCTCCTCTTAAAGTCTCAGTTCTGAAACAAATATTCCTCTAAGCATTTATATACTACTAGGATTTTAGGACGCTTTGCGCCCATCTTCTAAGTGGCACTATCTGTGAACATCTTCTCATTGTACAATATAAATTTCAAAAAAAATCGTGGATTTAATATTTATTATTTCGCGCATTTTTAAAATTTTACTAAAATCAAAAATAATTGGAGGCAAATTTTTGTAATTTTTAGCATCATTACGCCTTCCCTGGGGTCAAGTGAGGTCCCACACACAATTTGGGCCCGATCAGTTCAGTCAGACAAACCAAGAGAGGAGCAAAGTATATATGTACGTAAAGATTAATCTTTCGCAGGTTTTTGGAAGAAGGGGAAAAAAGACTTGCTCTAATGAAATCATACAATCAATTTCTTTATGAGATGCTTGAAGTCCCAGACAAGCTGAGGTTAGTAATACACCTTTAATAGTTTCTTGCAAATAGATTGTTAAGTACAATAGATGGCAACGTAGTATTTGTGCACTCTCAGTACAGTTGTATTCTTACGTCACAAGTATCAACTCAGTATTTTGTCAGACAAAAATATTAATAATAGTGATAATTTTAGAATAGAGAGCTTATTTTACAATGAAAAAGGTACAATTTATGCGTTATTTATTTTTTGTTTTTATTTAATCTCGAAAAACATGTCAAATAATGTGAGAAAATTTCGTTTTCCTTGTTATATTTTACACTTGTGACGTCGTGTATAATTAATCCATTTCTCTGTTGCCACCTATTGTACTTGATAATCTATTTGGTTTCTTGGCTTACTTTTTTACTGAATTACATGGCAAAAATAAATTATGTTTCGGGAAAGCCTTTAAAAATTTATTCTGTGGGGTCACAGCTAAGCGCTACAAAATAATGGATGGCAGAGCGTCAGGAAACCCGTCGGTCGCGGGGTGCAATTTCAACTATTAACGTTTCTTATTTTATATCTCTAAGTTTACGTAGGTGCCTTCCAGTTGGAAAATGGATTGGACAGGATGTTCCTCTAAACATGACAGTAAATTGAAAACATGATTTGAGCTTTGAAATAATTACGGTACATTCGTTACCACTTTTTATACTTGAAACAATAATCACAAAATAACTGTAATATTGGAAGCACAAAAGAGGCAGACCACATTTTGGAAATGCCAGGCCAAGAATTTTAATTGTAAAATTAGGTTGATTTACTAATGTCGCAATATCAAAGATGAACTTTAAGTGAAGTAAAAGTAGGCGGCTTATAATTGAGAAAATCAAGTTTAAACTCGTTTATTTTAGTCAATTAGAGACATGGCATGTAAAGCAGTTTGATGAAAGTCTTCTCCCTGTCTATGGTTGGATTCAAGAAACAGGTAGGATGGGATGGATTGAAGAGACAAGATTACACGGATGGGAAGGTGAGGAGAAGGATCAGAAGGAATGGAACCAAGATTTTGGAGGATTAGGATGGAACGATGAGCTGGACTATTTGGGATTACATGTAGAATCGGAGGGTTCAGAATTAAGGAACCAGTTGGCAGATTGGGCAGAGAAGGAAGCTAGCAAACTAGAACAAGGAGCCTCTGAGACAATGGAGGCGAGCAAACTAGAACAAGGAGCCTCAGAGACAAGGGAGGTTAGCCAACTAGGACCTGAAGCATCCAAGACCGCGAAAATAAAAAGAAGGAAGTATACTAAAAGATCTAAACCTAATGGAACAAAAGAAGAAAACCAGAACGGTCAGCTGGTGGAACTAGGTGGAGAATACTTTTCCAAATTAGAGTCAGGATTTCAAGTTCAAGGTTCAAGGTTTCTCAGGCATCAAGATTTCAACTATGGAAATCTTATTGCTGTTCCTGCTCCTATTTTTGTAATGTTTGGTTTTCCCACTGGAGCTCAATATAAAATCTGAATTTGATGTTCAATGTTAAATGAAATATTTTTTTCAGATGGTTTATAAAAAAATGCAGAGCTTCGACTTTTTAGGTGTTAACAATCGGTTATAGGTTGAAACATAATATATTATAGTTTATATTTTGTGATAAACATATTGAAGATTGTAAACCAATTTCTATTTCGGAGCAGATCAAATAATTTTTAAGTTACCATTTTGTTGTAATGAATAAACATAAAGCTAAAGGAACTGATTCTTTGTCACAAACTCAAATTTCTAATCTATCTTTGCAACCTGCTGACAAAAACCATCGATATTTCCAAGGTATATATTTCAATCTTAGACTATTTATATTTTGAAATATTTCATGTCTACGAAATTGGGTTGCAAAGATATATGGATTATAAAATCAAAGCTGGTTGCAAAGACTAAATTATTTTAAAACCACTATCGAATAATTTGTCTGACATTTACTGAATCAATACAAATTCTCCAATGCCACCTTGTACTTGATTATCTTCTGTAACATGTGTGATTAGTAAACCCAAATAATATATTTGAGTAAACCTGGTGACTGCTGTTTTTTATTTATCTCTAGAAAGTCAACATAGTTTCTTCAATATATCTTTGAGAAGTCAACATAGTTTTTTTAATATATCTCTGATTAGTAAACCTAGTTTCTTTAATATATCTCTGATTAGTAAACCTAGTTTCTTCAATATATCTCTGATTAGTAAACCTAGTTTCTTTAATATATCTCTGATTAGTAAATCAGTTTCTTCAATATATCCCTGATTAGTAAACCTAGTTTCTTTAATATATCTCTGATAAGTAGTAGATGTGCTGCGAGGTCACCAGGTTGTATTAGTATTGTCGCAAAAATTAACCTTCTCTTTTTGTCTTGCAGATTGTGATTCAATAAACCAAGTTCTTTAAACATATTTCTGGTTAGTTAGTCAAAAATAGCCGTAAAAGGGTCATAAATATCGATTTTATTGAAGAAACTGCCAACAAATTTTATTTTTCATCGTCCCTAGTCCTTCTTCTGCTTTAAATCTGTCGCATGTGAACTGTCCGCCAATGAAACCTAAGTTTGAATAGAAACGCTACTGTGGTATAATATGCCAAGGTCGTTAAAGTCTCCCCACTCCGTACTCGTCAAAATTCAACAGTTGACCTTGATAGGCTTGACCTAAAAAGGGACAGTTGTTTCTAGCCTACAGATATAATTACTCGCTGGATTTCTCTATTCTAGTTTCAAATTCCGTCAGCTTTAATTGTATATTTATTCTTGATAAACTTACTTTTATCCGTGTATAATAAAATTGACTTTCGTTGTAATTTAAGTGTCGCCGCAATTTAAAAACGGGACTTACTCGATTCACATCGAAACACTTGAAACCTTTATCTGGTCAATAACGTGGAAAAAGTCAACTATATGCTGGAAAAGTTTTTAATTCTTATAGTTCCTACATTGTATTCTTGCAGCAAATGCGCAAATCATTTCTGTAGAGAGCCCATAATTGAAAATAATCAGTTTTTTAAATTAAAATCAAGGATATCTAATTCATATTTTATCGGACAAACCTTTCAGGGGTACTGTTGTGAATCGGGCATGCCACATGGAGGGTCGCTTAAAATTACGTCCATAGATTTTGTCTTTATGACAAAGAACAAGTCGTGCATGAGAAATTTTTTTCTGCAAAGTATGCAGTCGGTTACATAAATTTTGCAAAACCAACTAATGAGAAATTGTGCTGAGTTTTGCTCATCCTGCATATTTTACCTGTTATCTTCTAGGAGACCCTTCGTAGTAAACACATCCGGAAGGCCAAAATAATCTTGTTGAGATCTTGGAAATTACAAGGATGGAATGCTTTGTATATGACCATATAACATGGGCACTGTATACAATGAAACTTGAGACAAATCCACGAAACCGTGCTTATAAAACCTATTTTAATTATTATCGGGTTAAAATTTAAACTTTTATTGTTGTTCTTTTTTTTCAATTTCAAAAAAAAATCCTGTTTTAATCATGTTTTTCTTTCTCTTAGAAGGTTTGGGGGAAATCGGTCAGTTTGAAGATTCTCAAGGTTAAAAGTGAAAGAGAAGGTTGAGCTTTAACACATTTAGATCAGGGTCAGAAGGTATAGGATGGAGAGAAAATGAATGATCTATGTTTCTACTTATTACTTAATATACGGTGGTAGGCCATTATATCAATATAATGAAGACGGCATTTTATTTAAGTTTTATATGTTATCAAGCCTTTTGCGAATTACAAGTTTACAAGTAAATAAAGAGATTTTTTTTTAATTTACAGCTTTTTGTTTCCATGTTGTTGTGTATCCATGCTGTTAAAAAGCTTTATATAAATTGAAATCGAAAGTGGTCATCATTATATTGATAAAATCTCCTATCACCGTACCAAAGAAAGACTTTCGAATGGCTGTTGACTTAATGTATGTTACCCTGATTATGAAGAAGGCTATCGCAGGATTTTCACCAAGAAACAAGTGTTAATTAATATGTCAGAAGTTCAATAAATAAACAACAATAAAGTTCAATATAAAAATCCCCCATTTGGTACCCCGTATTTGCGCGTTTTGTTTTCTTGGCCTGAATTATTTTAACACAATAAGACCTTGTACTGGTGTATCTTGCTATCTAACTAAAAGACTGACTATGCATTTTCTGACTTATCCAGCCATGTACTGTACTATTTATCCGACCAATTAACATGTATTAAACTATCTCACTAACTTATTATTCATTTACTTATCTTATCTGACTAACAGACTAACTATCAACGTACCTATTTATCTATCTAACTTGTAAAACCCATAATGGTTTCTATTTCTGAAGACAACTTGTAAACATAGAGAATAGAATATAGAGAGGAATTTACTAAAAAAAAGTGTGAAACGGCCATTTTGTTGTACAGTTTCCATACTGCAGGTGTACTTCACATATTTATGCTTTATAACCTGTTGGGCCCTGGAATATCATTTTATAGAAAATCTAAAATTATTGTTAAAAGAAAACCAAATTATGAAATAGGCTGGTTTTATAATTGACCAATGATCATTTCACATAGACTCTATGCCTTCCACTTTCCAAACGATGATTTTCCGTTATAACTATAAATCAAATGATGTTTTTTATTCACCTAATTCATTATAAAGTTTATTCAACAGTTTAAAAAATTCGAAATTGAACTGAATAGTCTAGGGAACATACTGTATTAATGTACTCTACTGCATATAATTTGTGAACATTTACATGATTTGTACACTTTGAACTCCCTTTCAGGCTGAAAGGGACTGAAAAAATTCATACCGAGAGATTCTTTTAATTCCTCTCTATATATTCTATTCTCTATGCTTGTAAACCTTCCAAAAAGTAATCTAAAAACACCCCCCCCCCCCCGATATCCTACCCGGCCAATGAGGTTATAGTTTATAGAGTGATGATGTACGCTAATCCTTACAAATTGTATAGGCCATAAACTGTACCGAGAGCATACTGCATATTTTTTTATTTTACGTTGATTCTGGCCTAACCTATATTATGTCAATATTAGTAAACGGTTGTAAGTGCAGAGTACAGCTAAGGGAACGCACAGGTAGAGAACTATCATCCCCCCTGTAGCCGGCTCTATGAGCTGTATGTAGTACATGTGGAGGTCACATGTTCACTGTACAGTACTCCAGTGTACATTACTAAACAAGTATACTGCAGCAGATTGATCAGTATTCAGTATGGAGCCGACCATTACTGGAGATGGGATGAATATAACCCAGGGCGTTCCGAGTCCACATGACCGATAGTCCACTAAGAGTCTACAGAGTCTACATATGTCCAGATGTGAGAGTCCAGAGTTGTGTGTCCAGAGTCCGAGATCCATAGATGAGTTTAGTATCCATGCTCAGACCAAGAGATAGTGCAGTAAAAGAATGTTTCTGGTTTAATTTGTTTTTATTATCTTTTGATTTCATATCTAGTTATAACTATACCCATTGTAATTTAGATTGAAACGTGGAAATATACATTTAATATTGTTTTTTCCTGCTTATAATTTGTTGTTAATTATCTCTTCAAACAGGCTGTAAATCGCCTTTAATAGATGTTATATAACTAACTGACTTAAATATCCGTGCATGTACTATACTATCATGTCTGTCTGACGAGTCTGACTAACTATACCATGTATCTACGAATCTATTTATTCTGACTAACAAACTATCCATTTACTAATCCATCTCTCTATCTGTTAATATCAAACTAACTATCCATGTACTCGACTATCTATCTAACTATCAATGTATTGACTACCTACCCAACTATCCATGTAAATCTAAGCTGTCAAACCAACTACTATCCTTGTATCTATCTATCTGTTCTATGTGGATTCTATATGAAAACTTCCTGGTAGAGAATTCTGTAAGATCCATCCATTAATATCAGAATATTTAAATCTTTAGGCTCCATCCATTAATAACACTATTTAAATCAGTAGGATCCATCCATTAACGATAAGAATATTTGTAGAAATTATCCAATCACTAATTTCAGAAAATATAATTTCATCATCAATTAATTACTTTTTTATTTTATAAGATCCATCCAATAATATCTTTAATTTTACTTCCATCTACATCAGGAGTGACTTCACTCTGCAGGTCTTTTAACTTTAAGATATTTTCAATTATTTTGTTGATACTTTATTAACCACTAAAGCTGAAGTGCCCGGCGTTGCCCGTGGATTCTCAAAATTCGTCCCACATTTGATTGGCTCAGTAACATTTTGCATTGTTCAGGTTTGCCTTGGTAACATTTTGTTTTGATAACAGTGCGTTGGTTGCATTATGCCTTAACATTACATACACACAAGCAATTTATATATAAGACTACTTGAACCTGTTACATAATATTTATGAAACTACTTGAACCTGTTATATATATATATAAAACTACTTGAACCTGTTATATATATATGAAACTACTTGAACCTGTTATATATATATATATATGAAACTACTTGAACCTGTT